CTAGCACATTCCAATCAAACTTGTCATTATCGCAAACCCGTTGGGCGCCAAAAAGGACTGTCGTGGTTTAGCCCCAGCCGGCAACTAAGCCCCACGCAGCCGCTCGCTCACTCCCCCACGGTGGGACAGGGGAGAGAATTGGAAGAATAAAAGTGAGGAAACTCATGGTTTGAGATAAAGACAGTTTAATAAGTAAAGCAAAAGCCGCGCACGCAAGCAAAGCAAAACGAGGAATTTGTTCACTACTCCCCATGGGCAGGCAGGTGTTCAGCCATCTCCAGGGAAGCAGGGCTCCGTCACGCGTAATGGTTTCTTGGGAAGACAGACGCCGTAACTCCGAACGTCCCTCCACCCCTTCCTTCTTCTTCGTCCCAGCTTTATATACCGAGCATGACGTTATATGGTATGGAATATCTCTTTGGCCAGCCTGGGTCAGCTGTCCCTACCAGCTTCCCGTGCACCCCCAGCCTGCTCGCTGCAGGCCAGCAGGAGAAGCTGGACTGTCCTTGACTACTTAGCAACAACTCAAAACATCAGCACCTTATCAACATTTTCTCATCCCAAATCCATAACACAGCCTCACGCTAGCTTCTGTGAAGAAAATTAACTCTACCCTGGCTGAAACCAGGACACCCTCGCTTGACGCTGGGTGCTGCTGTGTGCTGCCTCACCTCCTCAACTACGTCGTTGTCCTACCTCGTGTACTTTGCATGATCTGGAGTATCCTTTTGGGCAATTGTTACCAGAGGTCTCTTGCATGACTCTGTGGTGGTACTACTGCAGCATTACGGCTCATTCAAAAACACCCTCGTGGTGTTTGATCTCCGTTACCAGCGTGCCTTGAAGTGATATCCACTGAAGACCTCAGCTGTAATTAAGAATGTGGGGGTCACCTCTGTACATCAAGTTTGGGTGTTAATTTTTCAAGTCTGCTGGAACAAAGATGCTCTAGTCCAGGAGCGGTTCTGCATGTTAGGCTAAGTGTCTTGAGAGAGAACTTCTCCACAGAAGTAAAACGAATGTAGATGACTGGAAGCAGATTGCTTCTGACTTTGCTGTCCCTGAACTGGTTTTGAGGGTGGTGATGGTTACCAGTGATGGTGAGGGCGCTTGGTTACCAGTCCAAGTGCTAGCCCTGCCTGAGCTAGCTGTAGCTGTGGTTGGAAAGGTTACACATTTCTTAGAAGCAGCAGTTGAATGTTCTTGTTCCCATTTTCAGGACATACCTCAGAGAGCAGTTGCAGTTGCTTTTCCTGGGAGTGTGAGGATAGGTGTGTACAAGCTTCTGGTTTGCTGGCTGCAGAAGGGGTTCCTCGACTCTTGCACCACACCAAAGTTCATCTTCTCTTCTTAGCAGAGAGCAAGAAGGATGGGCAGATGCTGGTGGTCCTCCTCTTGTCCTCAGTGTGAGCTGCTTTCTGTTGCCCTGTAAATAGTGCGGTCTTTCAGGAGCTCCCTTGTAAGTTATCTGCGGGGTTGTGACTGTTCCCACAGGCTGAGCTACTTGGTGGGTGAAGTAACCCGCTGGTCTCAGCATCACCTCCAGTCCTTTTCATCCTGCTTGCAAGCGGGGGCAGCTAAAGACTTGTGGCCATGTGAGCAGCAGAGGCTGCAGCCCAAAGGCTCCCTGTTAGGGGCAGGGATACCAAGTGGTGAGGACAAAAAGTGCTCAGCAGCCGCTCAGACATCGTATGTGTTCAGTATTTTATGGATTGTGTATTATTAAGTGATTCGGATGAAAAGATGTAGTGCACCTGGCAGTATTTTTTGCTAATAGTTGACATTTTATAGTATTACTTTCTGTTAAAGTTTAGATTGAATGACCGATGTAAAACTGATCTTGGGATGGTTAACTGCTGAAGAGTGTAAAAGTTAGCAAACGGTACTTTCTCGTGATAGTGTTTGCTGTCACGCTGAGGCTGAAACCGTTTTGCTCAAGGACGAGGCTTGCAGACAGAGTTCATAAAAGTGAGTGTACTAAAGTGTGTTATCTCTCCCTCCAGACTTGTCCTGACTGTGCTCTTAGACTGCTGTGGCTACAACAGACTACCTGCATTGAAAGTTTACGTGTGTGTTGTGCAGGAGACCTTTAATGATTTATTAAAAATCACTAAAGCAAAATATATTTATGAAATAGAAGAATCATTTCTCAACAAAATTAGAGCATCTTTTAAACTCCGGTGGTTCTGCTGCTGGAGTTAAATTAATTTATGTAAAATTCAAGTTAATGAGGCAAAATTAAACTTCCTTTAATATAGAGTTGATGAACTGAAAGGAATTTTTATAACAATTGTGTATTGGGACATCGACATTTTAGTTTAAGGAATTTTTCAACCTTAAAAAATGTCAGTTATTCAGGCACTGCTTGTTGTCTTTCCCATAAATTTAAAGGACTTAACCCCCAATGTGACTGTCCCTAAGATAAATTGATGAAAAAAAAGTCTATTTCCTGGTGTTTCTATTTCTCGGTTCTGTATAAGTGGGAGAAGCACTTACAGTACTTTACAGACAACTTCTGTAGCCATTTGTTCTCTTCCTTCTCTACTCAACTTTAGAAGGATAAATACTTTCAATATTTTTCTGAAAAAGCTGCAGAAATACGTATTTCTGTAAAAGAGTCAGCAAATATCGGAGTAATATGAACTTGCACAAGCAATTCCATACGTGCTGCAAAGAGTGAAAGGAAAAGCATTGCAAACTTTGCTCTCAATGTCTTTTTTTTTTTTCCTTCCTAGCCTCCCAGCTGAGAGACTGAAAGTGCTGGCCTGCCTGAACACACTGAGACAGCAGCACGTGGACGTAATGAAGGTGGTAGCTCCAGCGCCGCGCGGGGAGGACGCGGCTTCCAGGGCCTCGCCGCACTTCGCTGCGCTGTCTCCCTGCCTCCCCTCCTTTTGGCTTGGTGGTGCCAGCTGGTGCTGCGGTGGGGCCTTTCCTTTGCAGAGCAGCCAACTCCGAGCCCTCCTCCTTGATAGTGGGTGGTCTTTGAAAAACCACGTTAACCAGAAAAATTGTTAAAATCCTCGGCTAAGAGCTTGATGTGGGCACCGGGCGGTTGTGAGAGACGGAACGAGCTGTATGAAATGTGTTGAGAAGCAACCCTTTCGCATCTCTCTCTGTGTAGAGCCTCCCCTTGGGTTTTGTGGGGCTTTTTTAACTAGCTTAGCCTCAGGCCTGGCTTAACAGACTGCTGCTGACTTCCACTGTTTGCCGGGTCCAGCAGTCTCTCTCAGTGGTGTATGTTGGTTTAACTCGGGCCGGGGCTGCGCGCATTCCTTGGTAGCCTGCGCATCTGCTAGAGCCCTGTCAGCGCAGGGACCGGGCGGAGGGAGAACGCAGGAAAACCTTGTTTGCCTCGATATTTTACCAAGATACGCGTGTGATGAAATGGTTTTATCTGCTGTTTTGAGGCAAGGATTAAATGTGCGTGTTTACCTTCTCTAGTAAGCCACTGTAGTTGCTCAGATGTCTCTTGAAACACGTGCTTAGGGATGATCAGGGGAGTGCTTTCATATTTCAGTTATCTTGGGTTGTGCATTTTGTTCTATGAAAAAGGTAAGAATCATAATTTCCACTCTGCAAAATTTCACTTGATTTTAAAAAACATGAACAGTGTCAAAGCACACACTTCTTATTGGGTATCTCAGACATGTATTGCAGTATCCTGCTTTAACTGGAATAGCAGATTAATAAAGACAGCCGTTTTCCCAAGTGTTAAGTTTTGGAGTTACACAGGTGCGGATAACATTTTTAGAGGTTTTGACTTTAATTCCCTTGCTCTCTGAAATGTGCGGCTTTGTCTTTTTTGGTGTCATGCTTACGTAGTTCTCCAAGGTAAGTTTTGATGTGGGATAAGCAGGACACGGCTGTCTTGTAGGAGAAAACAAAACCACCACCCTCTCCCACCAAATACCTGAGCATTTTAGATATCCTTTACCCTGGTGCCTGTTTCTTTTCAAAGTCAAATTTTAAATGCTAATTACACTATTGTTTGGCTTTTACAGGTTTTTAACGATCCAATTCATGGGCACATTGAAATACATCCCCTTCTTGTTCGTATCATCGACACACCTCAGTTTCAGCGCCTCCGATACATTAAGCAGCTGGGTGGCACTTACTTCGTTTTTCCAGGAGCCTCTCACAACCGCTTTGAGCACTCTCTAGGGTAAGGTGATGTTGTCTTGCATGCGCATCTCTTGCGTTTGGATTTCCCTGAGCTCGGTTCCACTAACGTGGAGTGCCAGCCAAGGGGCATCGCTGTCTTTGAGCCTTGGTGAAAACTGCCATTTTTGGTCTCACAAATGTTCCTGGATATCCTGTGTGATTACGGGCTGTTCTCTTGAACTTCATTGAATAAAGACAGATAAAGAAACCTACAGGATGGATCAATGTTAGATTTCCTCCCCTGCCACTGCTGCTTCTAAGAATAGCGTTAATTAAAAACTGTGAATGCTTTATGTTGTCCCTCATCAAAATTTGAGATCTAAAACATTTACCTGGGAAGGGTCCTATAAATGACTTGCCGGACAGTTGTAATTCCCTTATATTGTCCAGCACAGCTAAAACCCATTTTATCTGTAATGTTTGCATTTGTAGTTATGTGTGCTTTTATGCAATTGATAGCAGATTGTCAGGCTGTTAATTGTAATGTAAGTTTAACAGAAACAGATGATGGACACAAGGATTTCCAGAGTTTTGCTAGGTCTTTCACACTCCACAGAGAAGCTGATGAATGAGAAATTTAAACTTGTTTTAAAGGAATATCCCAAGGTGCAGAGAAATTAAACTAGTCAATGGTTTTTATTCAGATGATCTGGCCAGCCTAAAGTTGCTTTTGTTAGTGCTGAAATATTGTGGAGTAAGTCTGGCTTCTGCCCCTGCTCTGTGACGCTAACAAGGTGCAAATGCGTCAAATCAGTGAGGCAAGCTGGAATTGATTGGTAAATGTGAAAAGACAAAAATGTGAGGGGTATAAACAAAGCTTTCACAACAGGAGTCTGAAAACTCCAGCAGTATCAACAATCTTTTCTTTTAAACAGTTCGTTTAATCTATATGGTTACACTTAGGACAGTTGTTCTCAACTTGTATATAATTTTGAAGATTGCTACAGTGAAAAAACAGAAATGAGGTTTGTGTGCTTATTGGGCTAGTAAAAAAAAAATCAAACAGTAAAATCTGGTCTATGAAAAGATACTACATTGTCATATAGAGCCTTGTCTTGCTTTAAGATGTTCTACAAGGGGGACTATTGAGGCAAGTAGGAAAGGAAGTTGGTGTAGCACTTGCAAACAGTTTATAGGGGTATGTGCCGTATGTTTGTTCCTGCTGTTTTCCTATCACGAGAACAGAGGGTCCCATTCAGTGAAATTAAATGTCAAATCTAAAATGAATGAAATGAACAGAATTAGGTGTCGTAAGCTATTGTTAAAATAGCGGTTTGAAAGAACAACAAAATGCCTTGGTGGCTGTTGTGGACCTTTGCAGTTGCACTGAGTAGAAGTCAAAGGATGATGTGTAAGCTGTGGTGCTTCAGGATGCACACTGTCAATAACGCACTGCGGTTCGCTTACACAGGTACTCCGCTGTTCAGCATTAAGAAATACTGCAGGTTGCTGTTGTCTCCATGTTTTGGGCATGGTATCTCATGCTTTTTTGCTGTCAAATATGTTACTGATGACTAAAACTCTACTACAGCAAACAGTTTGTTTCTGTGATTCTCTTGCATTAGGGTCTGAGTACTTGTTGTGTGCTACCTCTCAGACAAGGGCTGTGACTTAATGGAACAAAACAGAATAGATGAACTGTTCTTTTTCTGTTCAGCCTGAAACACTACTATATTAACTTTTTTTTTTTCCCCCTGCAACAGGGTGGGCTACCTAGCAGGATGTCTGGTTCGTGCACTGAAGGAGAGACAACCGGAACTGGATATAACCCAGCGAGACATCCTCTGTGTAGAAATTGCTGGGCTTTGTCACGATTTGGGTAAGTGACACTTGGCATGGCTTGTTGCTCTTTGAAAGCTAACCTGGATGAAAAGCTGGCTGTGAGACCAGAACGTGAGAGCTGTTTTGGGCTGCTCAGTGCCTGGCCGTATTCCAAGACAGGATTTATCTGTTCCCGTTTGGTCCGGAGTATATCTGTGGAGGCGACTCCGCGTGGTGAATTCGTAGCCACTCTTAGCCGTTTTTTTTTGTCTTGTTACATATGGTATTTAGAGTTCTGCCCTCAGTGGCTGAAGTGTCCGCTTCTGTCTATGATGTCCTCAGGTCTCTTAAAACATTTCGCAGTGAAAACTAGTGGCCCTTTCAAAAATTGATATGGTTATTTTATAACTACTTATTTTCTTCAGAGCTGGCACAGAGTAATTAATGTACTCGATGTTGCTGCAGTACTTGTCTGTGGTGTAGGTAATGGAACTGGCTATGTTAAGTGCAGTAGTACTTAAGGTGTCTTAGGAAAGTGTACTCGCTATAGCTGAATCTTTCTCATAGATGATGTCAAGATCAAGTCAAATAGAAGAGAATCCAGATCCTTAGCTTGCTCAAAATATTTTTGCTGACAACTGTGTCTCAGATTAAACCTGTGTAATCTTTTTTAAGGTCATGGGCCATTTTCACACATGTTTGATGGAAGATTTATTCCACTCACCCGTCCAGATTTGAAATGGAAGGTAAGCTTGTCACTATTAAAGTAAAAACAGAAAACAGAAATTTTTAAAGGGAGAATATTTCATCTTTAGAGACTGTCAGTGCTTGTGAGACTATAGTGATCATCTAGCCTTTTCTTATTGCATCATTTTGATGGCATAATTAAAAACCGGAATATTGTCTTTTAATCCTGTGATGATTTCCTTGTGGTTCGCTTTAACTGTTCGTTTGGGGAACGTCAGCCCCCTCGGCGTGACCGTGAGCAGATGCAGCCTTACTAGCAAAGCAGAAAGAGGTGTGGGGAGAAGAGAGGGGCAGATATGTGTCACCACCACCTCTTCCCTGAAAGTGCAAACGGTCTTGAGCTCCTGTGTACTTCCATGAGATCTGTTTGTGTACACACGTCCTCTTCCTGCAGATCTCATGCTGGGTGGCACAGAGGAGCAACAAAATGTCTCCGTCTCGCCAGTGCCCGTAGTGCAACTCTGAAGAGGCAGAATTCGTTAGGACCGCACTGATCATTTTAAGCCAGTGTCATGCCTTAAAATGCGTATTGCCGGCTTTCTTCAGAATGTATTTACAGGTGCAAAATACCAACTGGGAGCTTCCTTTCCCATTTAAGATTTTTTTAAAATTAAGATAATTTTAAATATTAGGATATTTAATACAGTGTTTATTTAGAATTCAAACTTTCAGAAACTTTGAACAGAGTTTCAAGAGTTGTTTGCTGTGAATGGAATGTAACACAGTCCTTTCAGGCCTCTCTCTGCTTGTAATTATGAAGCAAAATCAGCTGAGTAAACTTGTTGATCTTCTGCACAGCAGAATTGATTATTTTGTCTCTTAGCATTGCAACTGTCTTACTGCTGTTTGTTAAAATACCGAATTAACAGCTCTCTGCTGAAGAGTGTGTTTCTGGACTCTCTAGACCGGGTGGTTTCCTGTTTGGTTAGATACAAAATGAATGGAAAATCACCCAAGTGCTGCACTTTCACACCACCGTGCCCGGGTGCCCTGCCAGGCGGTACTGCTGGGTTAGGAGAAGGCTGTGACACTGCAGGAAAGATGCTTAAACTAATGTAATTTGCAACATTTAGGTGTGGGGTTTGTTTTTTTTTTTGCTTGTTTGTTTTTCTTCACAGCATGAAACTGCTTCTGTTGCAATGTTTGAGCACCTGATCACTTCCAATAAACTAGAAGAAGTCATGAAGTCGTATGGTCTTGTCCTTGAAGAAGATATGAACTTCATCAAGGAACAAATAGGAGGGCCTATAGATGAAACCGCTTGTGAGAAATCGGTGAGTCAATGTACTGCTCCTGTGGTTATCCTAATAAATGTCTTTAATTTTACTGAAAGAGTAGATAATTTTTGCTTCTGATACGTTTTATTATCTATTTTTAGCCCCGTAAAATTCTGAGAATCCTGACACGAGAGGTGCTAGAGAAGTGTAGTATTTGTTCTCACAGTGCTGGCAGCAGGTGGTTGCTTCACTATGTTATGTTCTTACATCTTCCTGAGAAGTTCTTACCTCAAAGTCTTCAGGTTAGAGGAAAGCTTAAGAATGGTATTTGTATTTTGTGGACCTAATTCACTGGTAACTGGATTGATAGAACTGAATTTTAAATGGGAACCTTAAATGACTAGGTTAGGATAACAGCCTATTTACTGGATGCTTGACGGTGGTGGTAATCGGAGGTCGTGTTGTCAGGTGGCTGTGTGAAGAAAACATGGAGATAGTTTAGGATAATGAGCTGGTAATGGATAACAAAACTGAGAACTGGCAGAGATGAGGCAATGAGCAATGCAAAGCATGGCCCAAGTGCCAGAGCCCCATCGGCTTTGATGACAGTAGCAAAATGTTTGGATTTATTGCAGTAACAAACACAGAGGCAGGGATAAGACTTGAAGAAATGTGTGGCAAGGAAGAAGAGACTGTGATTATTAATCCTTGCAACTCTCTGAAAGAATTAAGTCCTCTCTCCTCTCTTTACACTTAATAGTTCTTGTCATCTCTTCAAGGACACCCATTCAGTTACTACCAGAATTAAGAACCCGTCAATGGGAGATCTGTCATGACAATCTGGTCCTAATCAGAATTTGTATGTTGTCCCAAACAAGTCGCCCACAAATGTTAGCACTTACCCATTATTTTCTGCTGTAGGAGTGTGTCGTGCTGCCATGTGTACTCCAGCACGCTGGTGATGAACATAGGGAACCTAGCGTAGTAACATACGGCCTGAGACCTCACAGGAAGGCGGTGTTCATTTACAAAGTCTGCAAGTTGATTTTTACCCACTGACGCTCACTGGCACACAAATCTTGCTGCCTGCCGCTGTCATTGGTCTTGTGCCGGGTTCTTACCCATGGTCTCTTTTTCCTTGTTGGGATTCTGTGCCTGTTTTCCATCAGGCTGACAGGAGAAGGAGTGTCGTACGTGGCAACCTTCTGGCCACCCTCCTGGTGTTAGGCTGCAGGATCTTCCACTGGCAGTCACTTGTACCACCGTGGTCTTAGCAGAGTACGGGCTCCTCCGCTGATGAGGCGTCTGCGCAGTGACGCTATCACGCTGCAGGCCGCCTGGTCGCGACGTGAACAGTGGGTGGTTTGTGTATTGAACATGAACAGTGCCCTGAACATTGTCCCAGTAGCAGAGGTCTTTGTGATCAGCACAGGATATTTTTATCTACGATGTGTTCTCTTCCTGCTGCTTACACAACGTTTCCGTTCTTATTCATATAAGTTTCGATATTTCTGTAATGCAAATAACAGGAAAGCCATTTATCTGTTTATATACAATGTTTTCCATCCTCAGAATTTCAAGGCCGCTTTATGTCCCTTTTTTTTTTTTTAGCTTGAAGAATCATTAAATTTTCAAGAAAATAACGTTTATGTGCAACTTGTATTTTATTATTTTGTCTTTGATTTCCTGTTTGCCTCATGGCTGAGGCATCTATTGTGGGTTAGGAGTTTAAGTAGCTGGCTGTTTAAACGATTTTTATTTAAAACATCTAAATAATTCTTTTAAAACTCTATTCTATAAAGTTGTATAGTTGATTGCAGAAGACTGCAAGGCAGTGACATGTTTGTGGGTTTAATTCCCTGAGGATTAAATGATTCCAACCTTTTCCTCTTTTTGTTGCTATGCTTTTTATTCTCTTTGTCATTCCAAAGCTTCAAGCTTTTCTTTAGTGGAATGGGAAATTAAATACTCGTGTACATGGTTTTTATTCTTCCTGATGTTCTAGGAAGTCAGCTGCTTAAGCCCTAGTTCTGGATTTCTAAATCCCGACTTAGTTTCTGAAAGCTCTTCTATTGTCTTTGTGTTCTTTGCTGCCTCAGTGTTGGATGTTTATCATGAGCAGAATCAAAGTACATTCCCACTGTTTTTAAAAAATTGTTCTGACATTGTTTGCACACTTTAATTTCTTATTGTTTCTGATTTTTTTTTTTCTTCTCGGCGGCTGTTAGTGGCCCTACCGTGGTCGACAAAAGGAGAAAAGTTTCCTATATGAGATAGTAGCTAACAAAAAAAATGGCATTGACGTTGACAAATGGGATTATTTTGCAAGGTACAAATCTTATGGTTTTTGTTTTTATTATAAATTCCTACTGAAATGGTGCTACTATATTTACAAGTATGATCTTATTATTAAACACTCTCTATGGAATATTTTAGGGATTGCCATCACCTAGGAATCCAGAATAATTTTGATTATAAGCGATTACTTAAATTCACTCGGGTCTGTGAAGTAAAAAACCAGAAGCATATCTGTACTCGTGACAAGGTAAGCAGCGTGTACGAACCGAGGGAACACTCGGCAGCACAGTGCGAAGTGTTACAGCACACCGAGATCATACGGGGCATGGGGAAGCCTGCCGTGGGCAGCGGGGTACAGCTGCGCTCTGGATTGCAGGGGGATGCTGGGGTTGCCGGCCGGCCGCTTTCGTAGCCCGAGAGAGGAAGAAGTAGTTGCTGCTCTGAGAGATGTTCTCAGAAGCAACTGGTTTAAGGACGGGAAGGACAGAGCAAGCCTCCGTCTCAAAGGGCTTCTGGTGGGTCCTTCCAGGGGAGGCTCTGCAAAACCATCAGCTGTGCATGGTCCTGCTCCAAGTCTTCTGAGTAAGGGGTGAACGTGGCTTTGGCAAGGGGCTGCTGAAGGAGCAAGAGGTTCTCTTCCCTGCCCAGGCTGCCTGGGGTCGCTGCTCTCCCACGGCAGCCTGAGTCTCTTTCAAAACTTGGGAAAAAATAACCATTTTGCTGTGTGCTGCAAATGGAAGGAGACAACCCATTTGATTCCTTGATTGTTTTAGTTTTCCAATTGGGGCAATGTCAAAATAAAAGATGATTGGTTTTTTTTTGATTCAGGAAGTTGGAAATTTGTATGATATGTTCCACACGCGGAATTGCCTGCACCGGCGAGCATACCAGCATAAGATTGGCAACATCATTGAAATAATGCAAGTATTATACTTTCCTTTTCTTGCATACCATTTATTTTTGAATTCTTGAAACTGTATATCCGTTTGGAATTTTCAGATAATCAGTAAGGTCTGACATATAATAAAAGCCACTGGGCCATATAACCCAACTCTTGTTGCAAGGCTCAGTGCTCAGAGTATCATAGAGGCTGTGATTAACCAAACAGAGAGGAGGACAACAACATCCTTCCACATGAAATTCAATCAGAGGAAAATTAGTAAAGCTCTGAAGAAGCGTAGGACCAGGCTGTGCTCATGCTCTTTTAACTGCTGACAGCTGAAGTCAAATCTTTAGCTACAAGTTAGAGATGACTTGGCTCAAACTGGCTGGTTACTAGATCGAGGTTACTGACAGAGTAAAGTAATGAGCAAGCTTACTGTAGCTTAGCTGAGGCCTGACTTTGTGTTTATGTAAAGCCGCCGCAGGAGTTGTCCAGGACCAACTCAGCTGGCTGCCTGCATTTATACCTCTCTGGTTGATGTCTACAGAAGTTTCCCTATAGCATTATTCTTTTTACCTTTCTTGAAAAGCAGAAATACTAGTATCTCTAAATATTTTTTTCATTAGTATCTTGGCTGCCGAGTAACTGTCTGCTGAGTTTGTAAAAAAGGAACGCAGAGGATTACACAGTACAAGAGTGATTCCTGACTGCTTTCGTTCACATACTTCAGCTCCTGGTTTAGTGATCCTCTAAAACTCAGATTAAAAATGCTAAGGTTTGACACTACCTACGTGTGAGGACTAAAAACAGCGAAGAAATTTAGTTCTTGGGTTACCATAATTATAGCAGCCTATCCAAATGGGCATACAAGCTGGAAATGACAATAAGAGACAGAGGGAACTCTGGAAGAACTTGATCTTCAGAACATCAGTTTTTCCCACCTGAAAATACCACATGTTCATGATGCTCTACCTTTACAATGCTGTGTATCCTCTCAGTTGGAGCAACGACTGTGTGAAGGGATATGGTCATCTGTGAGGCAGCCTCATTGCAGCTGAGTGACCGTGTCACTGTCTTGCAGGTTCTGCAATCCTCTAAGCAATGTTAAGCTCATAGTCTGAAGCAGAAGAAAGTGTACTTGCTCGTTCATTGAAAGAAGGTTAAGGTTTGTTCTGAACCTGTTTTCAGCAAATGGAAAGACTGTTGAAATGTGCAGTGACAGCGTGGAGATAGGACACACTGCAGTGCGACCAGGGTCTGCTGTGTGCTTGGGATGCAGTTTCATCTGTTGTCTTCTATTTATAACATACTAATGCATTTCTTTTTGACTCTTAAGCAATAAGTTGTTTCAAAATGATGCTTTTCTTAAGTCTTAATTTTGTCTCAAACTAGGATTACAGAAGCCTTTCAAAAAGCAGACAAATTTTTTAAAATAGAAGGCTCTGGAGGAAAATTGTACCAGATTTCTACAGCAATGGAGGACATGGAAGCCTACACCAAGCTAACTGGTATGAGCTCTCAGAATTTTTTTTTTAAATAAAAGAACGTGAGTACCTGTTAGAATGCTGTTTTTACAGCTGGGTCCTTGCCCATGACTAGGACTCTCAAGTACTACTTCTGCGCACTGATGGTGTGGCAGGCCTGGACCATCCAATCTCTGTGCTCTTGGATCTTGCTGGGAGAGCAAGACCTTCTAGTTGAAATTACTTTTATGTTGAGAGGGGGGGAGAGAGAGAGAGAGACAGAGACAGAGAAGCACCAACTTCTATATACTGCACACATTCACATTACTGCAAGCAGTGCTGTCAGGAGGTCCTGCCTGTGCCCTGAGTTTGTTGCACTTGTCACAAGTGGGATGTAAGTCAGCTCTGAGCAATGCTACAGCTAGCTACGTCAGGTGGAGGAGTACCGTATGTGTGTTGTAGTGTGAAACTAACCCTGAGGTAGGTTTCAAAAGTCTCTGATGGGATCTGATTTGATTTTCTTGAGACATTGCTACCCTGCCTTCTGTTACAGAACAAAACAGAAACTATGAACAACTTAGTTTATTGCTGAAAGTTTCTGGTTGCTTGGATGAGAGCTTGTGAGAATCGTTCTCATGGGATAAGTACATGGAGCAGCAACCTGCTTGAAGACGTGCCAGGGAACTCCAGCGTGATTACGGAGTGAAGCAAATGAGCTGAGACTTGCGATGTTTTCCCATTTCTCAAGGTCTGGCTCAGTGCTGTGAAGAGGAAAACCAGAAATTACTGTGTTATGTAGTTCCACGGCTTCCCACCAACACGGCATCCTGGTTTTGTCTGCCCCTCCTGGTCTTCGCTGTGAGGCACAGCAGCATTCCTCTGGTTGGTGTTCAGTGCTGTGGCATGCCCGTACCAGCTTTGGGTAGCATGGGGGACGGAGGCCAGTGGGGCAAGGCACGGAGGGGTTTGTGGTGGGGGCAGGGCAGAAGATGCTGCTGACCCTGCTGAAGTGCTCCCAAGTACTGGCAGCTCTTGCAGCACCTGTAAGCTACAGCTCACGAGGACTCACAAGGCATCTTTCCTGAGTGGCAAGACAACTTTCCTGAGTCTACATCACCAACCTGTGGCTGGCCAACAGAGGGACTCAAGAATTTCTGTCTTTGGTCCATGGACAAGGTGACGGAGACTGAGGGCAGTGTTGCAGAGGATCCTGTGTGCCTTAACCTGTGTCATGCTAAAGGCCTTCTGCTGGCAACCCTTCATCTGCCACAGCCCCATTCAGCCTGACCATAGACCTGCTGCAGGGAGCGGGTGAAGGGGCTGTGCAGAGGTGGCGATGAGGAGCTGCCTGGCCCCTCTGACCCTGGATGCCTCTGCCCCAGGGGAGGGGAAGGGGCTGGCTTTGAGTGGCAGTTGTGGTTGGAGAGCATGAATTGCAGTGTTGGGCCGTGGAAGGCTGGGTAGAAAGGCAGGAACTGGCATTAAGTTCTTCATGGTCCTGCTGGAACTGCCTGCTGACCTGCAGTACCTGGTGAGGAGCATAGTTCAGGGCGAGGATATCGGGGCTGTCCCCTGCCTCTTAGTCTGCCGCAGCAAGGAGCTGCTTGCTGGGGCTGTCCTGTTCAACGAGGAGAGCTGAACGGCAAGGAGAGTGATGCGAGGAACATGCCAACGTGAGGTGTAACAGTGAGCCATGAAGGATGAGTATGTTCACTTCCTCTTAAACCAAGGCGCTTCCTTCCCTACGTCCAGTGGCTGCAACCTGGGAGGCTTCTGAGAGGACAATAGGCTTGTTTTCAGTAGTCCATGATGAGTGATGCTTCTGTGAAACTGTCCAGTTGCCTCTTGGACCTTTGCAAATGTTAAACCTCTGTGAGGTTCTGCAGCAGAAAGTTCCCTAGCTTGCTTTCATGATGGGTGAAGAACCACCATTAGTTTTTAATTTGGTGCCTCCTCATTTGACGTTCCTTGTCACCTACTGCTTTTGCACAATGGATGTGTTCAAGGGCTTCTTATTTTCCCTGCATCATCTCTTCTCAATCTGAACAGACCTAGTCTGTTCTTCATAGAGAAGTTCCTGACTTGTATCAGCTTTGTCCATAAAAACAGTTAAAGATGTTCTGGTACGTGGTACCAAACCAAGGCATGTGGCTCATAGCTTCCAGTGTGTTGGGAGTGTCTGAAGCCAGCTGCAGTCCTAGCCGGGGCGTTGCAGAGCTGTGCTTGCAGCACGTGTCAAAGCTGCCTAGGTGGTTCTGGCTGGGGAATGCAAATAGACACAGAGTGCAGCTGTGTTGGTTGTGACGGGCAGCATCCTGACAGCATCCTGAGCAGCATCCTGACAGCAGCAGTTTCTTTAGGGCAGCCAAAAATAACCTTGCTGCTCTGAAGCCACATCAAAAGAAACCTGTGTCTTGCTGCTCGTATTGATGGGGGAAACGCACTGTGTTGCTGTCACGTAGAGACAGGAGGGGGGACTTTGATGCTACAATCCAAAGTCTGAGAAATTCTGAAGGTTTAATGGTAGTACTTTATTCTTGTACAAGTACCCTTGTCCCTGAGCTGGTTAGTACTGGGGTTTAGGATATTCTGCTGAACAAGATCGGCTAAATAAGAAGAGGATGCAACCTTCGGTGAAATACTAAAACTTGTTGCAAGGGTGAAAATTGAGCTAGTTTTTCCTGTTGAGAGCTCTTACGAGTCTGATGATGATCAAGATGATATTGTGACTTCTCAGTTGTCAGACTTAGTATGTTCACTCGTTCTCTGAAAGTGTCTTTCCTGAACCAGCAGTTTTTCCTGTTGCTTTAACCTTTGTTCCTGTACATGCGTTTTGCTGTGACACTGGATTTTGACATACTTAACAAAAATCAATACAACTTTGGCAGATAATATCTACCTGGAAATTCTGCACTCAAGTTGTCCAGAACTGAAGGAGGCACGAGAAATTTTGCGTAAAATAGAACGGCGTGAATTATACAAGTTTTTAGGAGAGACTCAACCTGAAACAATGAGGGAAATTGTAAAGGTAATGTCCATTGGTGGAAGATTCTGAATTCTGTCCCTGTAAAACTGTTCTTTAAGTTGCTGACCATCTCTTCTTCTCTATTGGTGTGTGAGTTTTGTTTGTTTCTTTTGGTTTGGTTTTCTTTTTTTTTGCTTAAATGCTCTTCCAGAAATAGTGTCAAAAGTTCTCCTCCTGTCTTTATGTAGCTGAGCCACGAAACGTGTTATAGGAAACTGGGAAGAGTTTTATCTACAAACAGACAGAAAAATGGCAAGCAGTAGAAATTCAGAAGTTGATTATTGCAGAAATATTTCCAGAAAAACCTGTTTTCTGAAAAATACAAAATTGCATAAAAAGCTGTTATAGTCCAGTGATTGAGAAGGTTATTTCTATCATCTTGAGTTCATTAAAATTGCAAAATAATAAGGAACGCTTTTGCTTTGAATTGTAATTTGTGTGCTTTACTTTGAGAACAAATGTCAAACTGAGTAATAACTGGCAATTTAATTTCTTGGCATTGAATTCTGTACTTAGCATAAGCATGCATTTATTTTTTCCAGTATTTGCTTTTCAAAGCACTCGTCAGACGTCGGTTTAACAGCTGTTGCCTTATTTCAAAATAATGTTATATTGGAGCTGACGTTACTTCATATGGCTCAGCTTTTCTTGTAATGTGCTACACCACGTTATCAAATTGTCAATTAATTATCTCTACACTTCAGCCACAATACTTGGAAATTTGGCATGGAAAATTTTAATTTTCTCGCCTCGAAAATCCATCCAGAGGTGTTGAATCTTGGGATATCCAGTGTGTTTTGAAGGGAGACTGGATCACTGCTGGTGCCATGAATATATTCAGCCAATGCTTTGCAGCTTCCGATGCTCAGCTGAGGGATTGGGGAAGGATTTTTCCTCCTGTGGTGCAGGAGGTGCCTGTTGCAGGAGTGTTGGAGGCTCAGCTTCCTCTGAAGTGCTGGAGGTGAGCAGTGGCAGGACAAGGCGTAGCTGTGTCTGTTCTGCTCCTTAAGAGACTGCAATGCCATTATGTTTCGTATCAGAACGCTTTGGGGGAATCTTTAAAGGTTGCCTAGTCCCCTGCAATGAGCAAGGACATCTTCAAGTAGATCAGGTTGCTCAGGGCCCCGTCCAGTTTTGTGATCCTCAAGCTGGCCAGAGCCAGGACAACATCCCAAATAGCTACAGACTTCTTAAATTCAAAGCTGTTTCCAGTTAATGCAAACTGGAAGAGGCAACTTCAAAAAAAAAAAGAGGCAAGCGAACAACAACAGTTGCCTCCTGGCAATTCTTTCCTCCAGGTTTGCTCTCAGTCTAAACCTTTCCTTGGCTTCTTGAGTCACAACAAACCACACTGTGCCTCAGCTTGGCAATGTGGGTGATCCCTGCTGCTCTTAGCAGTCTCCCTGTCTTTGCAATGGACAAAGCAGCAGCAAAAAAAATGGTGCTAGTTGATATCCTTCCCTTCGGGACCTGCCTCCTGGTCCTGGCCGCTCTGGGAGAAAAGCTTTGGATGCAGCACAGGAGCCTCAGTTGCTCCCAGGAAATCCTGCTTCATCAAATTTTGCATCTTCCCTAGAACATAGCAGCCCTGGACAAAGGTGAGCGGGCAACCTTCTCTCTTCTGCCGAGCCACAGCCGTTCCATGAGAACTTGCACATTTCCATGAACAGCTACTCTCCATCACGCTGTGCTCCTCTGCTTGGCTTTAGCCTAGCTGTCAGCAGGGAATATTCTCTCAGGTCCAGAACCAGACAAAACCCTGTTGTGGGTTTCAGCTTTTGAAGTAGGTCACCATCCCCTCCAAAGTCTGCCTAGGAGCTTTCTGTTTCTGGTTTTTGGTTGGGTTGGGTTTTTTTTTTATAGTGATCGGTGACATTACTGATCTTGTCTGTCTCTCGGGGGTTTTTATGTGTTTCAGTATGTAGGTATAAAAGCTTTATGAGAGGATGAGATCTTGCAGCCCTTCATTAAAAAAAAGTTCAGTAAACTTGTTTAATACTCAGTTTTGGGAAGTTAATAGCAAAACATTTGTATTAGTAGAATAATTGCTTGAAGGTACTTATTTTCTGCTTTCATGGAGACTTCAACATCCTGGATGGGGACACACACACACTCTCTCTCTCTCTCTCTTCCCTTGCCCCCCTTCCTTCCTTCCTGTCACCAGGTGTGCTGTCTTTCCCCCACAGGCTGGCAATATTTGGCTCTTCTCAATTACATACACTTGTTTTGTTTCTAAATACTGGTAGAAAACTTACGGCTAAGGTATACAAGGATTCAAAAAACCCGATTGCTGCAAGAAGAGTCTGTCAAGCTATGAAGAAACAGAAACTTTACTTTAATGACACATTCTGTCATGCGTATTGTTGCCTTGGTCTAGACTTGATAGTGCATAAATGTAATCTGAGTTACTGTCTTTTTTCAGAATAATAGCCTGGCAGAAAGCATTGCTAATTGCAAGCCAGAAAAGGATCCTCCAGACGTGGAGCTGAAGGCTGAAGATTTCATAATTGATGTAAATATCTCTGGGTTCGGAGTAAAAACTTCTCAATCACAGAAGGCCTTGTATACCATAGTGAAAATTGGAAAAACGTTTCAATACATCTGTGAACAACCAGAAGCACAGGGTTGCCTCGTAAACGCTGTCCTAGCTGTCCAGCCCGAGGCTCTGAGCGCAGCGCGTTTCCCCTCGGGGGGTTTGCGGTGCTGGGGGGGGCCTGGGGGCAGGGGCTTCAGGCAGCTTCGCTGGGCTGTCGCTTGGGCACTTCTGCTCACACCGTGACGGATGGGTTCTCCCGTGACTGTCCTCCTTCTGAGGAGCTGTACGGAAGCCCTTGGGCTTCAGCAGTCTGGAACCACCGCTGCGGGTGATGAAGGCAAGTAAGCTGTGGGCGCCGGGGGGAGGATAGCGGGCACAGTGACTTCAGGCTTCTGGCATTGCACGCTTGACGCGCGGCACTCGCTCCTGGGGTTTGTCTTCTGCATAAAGCAGCTTGCTGCCGCAGCTGTCTCCAGCCAGCACTGGTGGGAAGGAGAGAGCCTGAGACAGAGGAGGGAGCTTGAGGGGTCTGCAGGTATCGAATAGCTTAATCGCTCTTCGTGGTTAATTCTGGGGAAGGCTAACGAATGGCTTTCCATGGAGTGCATCACAAACCACTTCTGCAGCTCCCTTGCACTGAAGGGTCGCTTCAGGCTGGGTGAAATTGTAGCGGTTTGCTGCGTAAAGCGCAGTAGAGGAGTTGACGGTGCTTTCCTTGTCCCACAAATGGAAGTCACGGGGAAGTGGGCTTTTCTCCCTGCTGATCATAACACTGTTGGTGCATCGAGCAGATGTAAATAATGTTGTCTAAACCTCATGTTGAAAATTGTAAGCTCTACTGCTGCCTCTGCATCTCTGTGTATTTTGGGGAGGCACAGGCTGGCAAGGGACCAGCATGCTTCCACTGTTTGAACCTGGAGCGTTTCAGAGCACGACTGGAGAGCTGGTTGGTGTAAATCTGAGCGAAAGGTGGTGGAAGAAAAGATTTAAAATGCAAATACCTGATTGTTTTATTAAGTAATCATTTGTTAATTGCTGTTCTATTTGATTAGTGTCATTTGCAGCAGTATTGTATGTATCCATTTTGTGCTTTTTGTGAAAAAACTAAAGCCAAACATTAATGCAATTTTTCTTTGTTTTGCATGCAAGGTTATCAATATGGATTATGGAATGAAAGAACAGAATCCCATTGATAATGTTCTTTTCTATTGCAAGGCTGATCCTTCCAAGGCAGTCAAGATCAGTAAAGAACAGGTAGTCTTTTATTTTCCTCAACTGGCTTCTGAAGGGCATCTTCTTCACAGCTTGCGATGGAAATGTTTTCAGTCCTTCATGGTAGTTATTGCAGTAGTGGTGGAAGAGAGTTGTGGAATCCATGTCCTTGCAGGTCTTCGGTGTGCGTTGTACTATGACAGTTTGAGATCCTGACAGCCTTTGCATATGAACGGTATTTAACCGGAATACACTGGGAGTCTTAGAAAAGTACGGTTGGTTTGGATAAAGCTCATGGATTGTAGTGGGATGTTTTTTACTGCTTTCAATTTGTATTCAGATGAAAAAATGGAAGTTCAGTGGACTCTGAATTCCAAGAAATACTAATGCTTATTTCTTTTTTTATTCCGAAGGTTTCAAAGCTTTTACCCATGACGTTTGCAGAGCAAGTTATCCGAGTTTATTGCAAAAGTCAGGATCCAGATATTGTTTCAGCTGCAAAACAGTATTTTATTCAGTGGTGTATAGAGAAGGATTTCACCAAACCGCAGGTAACAAATTCACTTGCTATTTTTCTTGTTCTTGGAGCGTTTCACCTTTGTCCATAAGCTTGCTCTTTCATTGAAAATCCTGGCATTCAGGCCTTGTGTTTGTGGCAGAGCCGCTCACCACTAACCTAGCTTCTGGTTTTATTGTGGCTCGCATCTGGATGTGCTTTGGTTTCGCTGAAATAGTGATGGGTTTGCGTTGATTTAATTTATGTCATTTGAAAAGTCGTGCTTTTATAACAAAGTTAGTATCCACACAGACGCTCGATAGTTCATGGATGCAGGTTTCCTCAATACAAAGGCTTAAAGCAGCACTGAGAGATTAAAAGATCTAGGGAAGAGGTCAGTTCTTCTGTTGCTTTCCCTCTTCCTTATTCTCCAGCTGTTAAACTCACTCTGTCCCCAGGAGATTCACAGTCAGTCCGTTTGTTCCGAGTTAGAGAGGAAAATATCTGTGGGAACAAGATTGCAAACCTCTCCTCTCCGGGCAAGTAGTCTATAGTCTGAGTTGCCTGCAAAGCCTTATTTGTTCTCTGTGTTTCCCTTCTCCATCAACTCCCAGAAAATACAAGTTTCCAGCTGTGAGGAAGGAAGAGGGTGTGTTACAACTGATCTGACGTTTTGCTTTTTGTTGGGAGCCACGTCAGAGCTGCCCTGGCAAGTAAAATGGAGACTCTAAAGCAGAACCTGAGTCCGTACCTCTTGCTTTGCATTCTTCCTGCCAAAGGTCGTGGAGAAGCTTATAACAATCATGGCTGTAAACTAGCGATGCGTGACAGAGCATCCCCATCACATCCCTCTTGCAGGAAGGTGGGCGCCTTCATCTAAAAAAATTACTGCGTGCTGACGCTTCCCAGTATATCCATCATTGTAGGGAGGCAGTTATGGTTGTATTAAGTAAGCTTTTCTCAGTAGAAAATGCTAATGGAGCCACTCCTACGTGCACGAGCTGTGACGTTTCTAGGCTGGAAGTGGCGGTGGGTTTGCTAGATGTGCTGGCAAATCTGCTGTTGCATTTCTCCCCTAATGGTTGGTTTTCACTTTGGTTTACCTGACAGTCATACCAGGGAGAGGAATAGCTTTCTCCAGTTCCATGCACTTTTTCGGATATTTTCCGCTATCTGGGATCGAACTTCAAAGTAAAATAAATGCTTATATGAAAATCTCCAAGTTGCTTAAGAAATGCAGTGTGAACAGTTTGTTCTGTGAACCGCGTATTTTTTTCCTTTTCATCGAGTACGTTAATATCGCTGACTTTGCACCTTGCTTGCGGGAGACACCTGCAGGTCTCGTTTGGGGAAGGGGCTACAGCTATAGGCACGAACAACTTCTTTTAAGGCTCGTTCTTATGTCGTACTTCTGGCATCTATCTTTTGAGAGCAGGTAATGTCAGAAGGGCTTTTTACAAACAGATCAAGCAACAAGCTTTCTCGGCTTGTAGCTTGAGTATTGTTGTATCCTGTAAGAATGTTCTCCTAGTTCAGGCGTATCCGTCTTGCAGGCCCTGGCACGTTGCAGAACATGGCAACGTGCATCCCACCGGCTTAATTTCTAAGCTGAGAGAGTTTATTGCTCTCTCGTCTGTGCTTGCGGTGCCTGAGCACGAGATCGACGTGTGTCTGAGAAGGATGGGCACCGCTGCCTTAGACCGTGCAGTTGCTGCACCCACATTACATACCTTGAGGCAGTGAAAGGCACGTCCAAGCACCTACACCTGGCAGATTGCAACAGTTCTAAATGAGGTACTGTGGCAAATTGGGAGGAAACACCCATAATAACGTTTCTGGTTCGTATAGCAATGCCCCAGATCTTCCTAGGTTTGCCTGCTGATCTTCCTAGGTTTGCTGGTAGTAATTTAGGAAGAGGTGAACTGCCAGTGCTGAAAGCTTCTTGGAGGTGTGGGGTTTTTTTTTTTTCTCCCCACCAGATGTTACCACTGACTACAGCAGTTTGCATCTCCGGGATGCTTGGTCTTCAGTGTTTGTTGATTTACAATGCTTCTAGGACCTTGGGTTTATTTTTTTTTCTATTAAGACTGGTACTGAGCTTCTTTTCCCCTGCTTTAAAGTAGAAAGCAAAAGTGAATGTAATATCATTAATGTTTTCTGACTTCTGATAATAGGATGGTGATGTGGTTGCCCCTCATCTAACTCCAATGAAGAAAAGCTGGAATAACATGAGAGATGATGAACACAGGACAGCTTCCGAACCCAGTTGCAAACAAAGGCTTCCTTTTGATAAGTAACAGTTTTTCCTCTTGCACTATTCAATCTGCTGCTTCAGAAGATGAGTAAACCTGAGCAGCAACTCTTTTAAAAGCCAGTTGGATGGACTGTAAGAATTTATGGAACAATGCAGAACTGCATTTTACAATACAGTATGTTTTAATGTAGGCACTTAAACAAAGTGCATATTCCAAATGGACTTTTAAAAAATTAGCAACGTATTACAGCAGCGCAAACTCAATCCTCATTTGTTTTTGAATGTATTGGCACTGTGTAGCAAGAGTAACTTTAAAAATTGCAATTCATTGTTATTCCAAGAAGTGCTGAAGACACATTACTGTTCCTTCTAGTCCCGATGCCTTCTTAAGATGATTGTGATAGTGCTCAGGTTTTTGGGGTTTGTTTTGTTTTGCGTACCTGAGGAAGAGAGGAGTAAGTAACGCTTCTGAAAATATAGTGAGGTAACAGAACTTTGAAATAACCATAAATGGCATCTTCAAGAATAGCAAAACGGATTTCATTTAAAAAAATAAAAGTAGGGAGAGGGGAATCTTTTTAATAACCAAAGATTACTTTTCTGGTATTCAGAAAGCTGATGAAGATGCAGGCCTCTTGCTGTAAGTGTGATCACAATTTTTCTTGAAGTAACAATGCATTGCAGTGACATGCAGCCTTTTATTGTTTTGTGTATTTTTGATACATTGAATGTTATATTTTTACTGTTCACACTGAACTGCAAAAACTGCTCAGTGTCCATTGTTTGAGTGCTCGCAGGAAAGCAGAGCTGCCCGAGCGTTTGTCGAGGCAGCGGTTCTTGGCACGGTTAGCGAGTCCCAGCAGGATGCTGCCCTGGCTCTGCTCTTCCTTGCGCCAAGTGCACCTTGTTTCTGCGTTACACTGTACTAGGTAGACAGGCTCTTCAGGAATTCTTCCATTCTTGTATCCCTTCCCTCCTTCTCCTGGATCTCGGATTGCTGTTCCTGTGTAATTTTTCTCTCCCTTGTAGAACTCCAAGGGTTCTCACATCTTTCCCTTGCTGGCAGTACTAATGTGAGTGTTGCTAAATGTCTGTCCAGTTGAAAAAGTGAACGAGGAAGGTCTTTTTTCTCTGATCTTTTACTCAGGTCTAAGAGGAAGGCTGCTTTCATTAAATAAAACCTAAAAGCTTGAAAAAGTCCACCCTCAAAACTAAAAATGCAAAGCAAAAGTAATGCTCAGAAATTGGAACTAGCTTTGGACTTTTATATCTGAAATGGGGAAAGAAGAGTTCAGCATTCAATTTTGACAGCCAAGTGTGGGTGACTAGGTTAGTTTCTGAAAACTAACATGATGGGAAGTCGCTGAGAGAGAACTGCAGCACTCTCTTGATGTCTGATTACCTCTCGTTTGCCCTTTTTATCATGGGAACCGATAGCTCTTGGGCAGAGGGAAGGAGAATGAGTATTCACGTACTTACTCACAGTTCGTTTGTTGAAATAACCAGAAGTCGTTTGCGCTCTGCTGCTTTCTTACGTACCTGTGCTTGTATGTCTAAAGGTGATGCGGCACAACCTCTGCTGTTCATATCCTTAACAGTATTTCAGATCTGCAGGTGCACCAGATAACTGTTAGAAGGTGTTGTGACCTCTTCAAAAGCTTTTAAAGAGCTGCTTATTGTACTTCAAGAAACAACATCATAGAGTGAAGGCATTTGTCTCCCTTATCTGCATAAAATCAAGTATTGTTCAGAGTAATGTAATTTTGTTGCTTGGGTTTGTTTTGAATCTGTTATAAAAGGTGCACTTTATACTTGTGAAATATCTTTTGCTTATGTTTAAGCAAAAAATGCGTTAAGTTCTGAGACAGCATTTCTTTTTCTCAAATGTGTTAATCTGAGCCTCTCTGGACTAAGAATAAATTTATAAATAATGATTTTACTATTCTTTTAAGGAATTGCAGTGCGTGATCTTTATTAAAAATGGTTATAAACAGCCAAATGTATTTCTAAAGGATAAACGCTGCTCTGTCGAAGTGCAGATCTTCCAGCTTGAGGAGATGGCTGCTTAATTTATGTTTACTGCAGCGCAGCGTGAATGGTAACTGCGGTGGAGGCCGCGCAGCTGGAGGGGACCGTGGGGAGGGAGGCTCGCAGAGGCTGTGCCAAGCCGCAGGGGCCAACCTCTCCTCGTGCCGCACCTGGGCAGAGCAGGCCTCCCCCCGCCGGCACCCTCGCCCGGCCGGC